TCACCTCCTGTTCCCACACATTGTTTCTAGATTCCTATGTTTGGGGGCTCTGGCTGGTATCCTTGTGGGGCCTTTGAGATGTACCGGGATACTATGTACATGTATGCAGCTTTAGAGAACAGGCCTTTTAGTGACCCCAGGAGAGAAAGCGTCCAAGAACCTGGAAGAACGTTTTCCCTGAATATGGAGCACAGAATCAGTGACATCGAGATTCCTGGGGACTTGGGGGGGTTGGTGCATGAGTGTGAGCATCTCAGGTTCCTGGGCTCACCCCAGACAGGGGACCCACGGCTCTCCACGTGAGACTTGCTCGGGTTAGGTGAGGACCAGGGTGCCTGAGGTCCAGCATTAGCATCTTCCAGAAGTGTGTGGGAAATGCTGCTTCTCAGGCTTCCAGACCTGTTGGTTCTGAGGTTCTGGTGTGGGGCCCAGAAGTCTGGGTTTTAGTGAGGCTTCAGTTTAGCTGGGGAGGCCACTGCTGCAAGCAGAGGGTCCCAGTGAGGAAAGAAGGTGGTATTTGTGCTGGAGGGTCAAGACCCAAGGGTGGAAGTTCCCCAGAGGCAGGTTCTAATAGCTGGAGTCATCCCGGAGCCAGCTGCCTGCACGCAGGAAGACCTTGCCAGAGTCCTGCCTTGGGGGTGGGAGAGCCAAGATCCAAAGCCTCCTGGCACGTAAGAGCAAGGGGGATGTCCTGGCTGTTGAATCACAACAGCAGTATGAGTCATCCCCTGTCCCTGCCGCCCTTGCACCTTTTTTCTTTGTTAAAGGACCGAGTAGGAGCTGAGTGTTGTGGTGCACACCTGTAATCCACGCACTTGGGAGGCTGAGGTAAGTGGTGGCCTTGAGTTCAAGGCCTGTTTGAGCTGCATAGTGAGTTCTAGGGCGAGCCTCTGTCTCAAAAATAAAAAACAGGAAAAAGGCCCGGTGAAAATTAAAATACTCAAGAATGCTGAAGACCTGAGGCAAATCATACCTTTCCTTCAAAAAAACAAAAAACAGTGCAGGAGAGCAGGCAGATCAGAGGGCTAGCCTCTCCCCACCCCCAGGGCAGGCAGGGCTGGGAGGGGAGGGGAAGTCACACAGTTTCCTAGATGGATGGTCCCATTACCACCCTCCTGTGGGCTGGGCTGTGGTAGAATTAGGGGAACAGCTGCTTGAATGCCTGTGGTCCCGGGGCTCCTGATGTTTGATGTCAAGCTGGGAGTGGCCCTTGTGACAGATCAGGACTGGCCTGCTTGGCCCTTTCATTAGTACTTGGAAGAGCACTGTGCCCACAGATATGAGACCAAGGGAGCTGTCAGACTGCAGGGAAATGTTAACAGCACCTGCACAGGGCTCCATACCTGGAAAACCCACCTCTGGGAGGGACAGCTGTGTCCAGGGAAGGGCGTGGTCCTGCCCTGTGTGCTCAGACCACAGCAGGGCCTTGGAAAGGCTCGGGGAAAAGAGATGGGAGCAGGCTCAGAACAGATCCTGCTGCTTTCAAAACAGTGGGCAGACAGGGCTGTGCTTTCTGTTTTTTTGGTACCGGGGATCGAACTCAGGACTTTGCACTTTTGAAGCAGGTGGTAGAGCCACTGAGCTAAATCCCCGCCTTTTTTTTTTTTTTTTTTTGGTATGGGGGATTGAACTCGGGTCCTTGTGCTTTCCAGTTTTTTTTTTTTTTTTTTTGGTATGGGGGATTGAACTCGGGTCCTTGTGCTTTCCAGGTAGGCAGTGGAACCACTGAGCTAAATCCCCGGCAGGGGCTGTGCTTTCTGGAAAGGGGAGGCTAGAGGTAGTGTCGGAGGGCACCGGGGATACTGCGGCTGTGCAGTGGGATGAGCCCCACCCTGGGGGCCCCTTGGGACAGAGCTCTTGTGCAGCAGCAGGGAAACTCCCCAGAGGCCTCCCAGGAATGCTTGTGGTGCCCTGCTGCTCCCCTGGCTATAGAGCTGAAAGAGGCCTGTGTGAGTTATTTTCATCCTGGAAGAGCAGCAGCTTTGTGGCTGTGCTAGGCAGGAGGGGCAGCCTCAAGTGCGTCAGAAATGCCCCACTGAAATGGGCCTTTTTGTTTGTTTTTGAGACAGGGTCTCACTGTGCACTTCAGGCTGGCCTTGAACTCACTAGTGTAGCCCAGGCTGGCCTCAGATGTGGTGATCCTCCTGCCTCAGCCTCCCGAGTGCTGGGGTTACAGACATATGCTACCACACCTGGCTTAAATTGGGCCTTTTAAAAGTTGTTTTTAATTGCATAATACATGCACGTGGCAGGAAATGAGAAGGTGGCAGGAATGTGAAGGGCACTCAAATGAACAGCATCACTTCTAGCCTCTGCTTTCTCCCTAGTGTTGGTTGTTCCAGGGATGGTGTGTGTGGATGCGCACATATACACCACCTAGGTGGTGTGTTTCCCGTTTGCTGTTTCTTTATTAGCCTAATTTCCACACCCTATGGCTCCTTGAGCAGCGGTGGGGATCATTTCATATCTTGGTAGTCAGAGCTGGCTGATTCTGAAATCAGTTTCACATAGCTACTTAGGGCTCTGTTGTGATATATTTAACCAGATGTTAAATGGTATAGGTTTTCTGTTGTTACAGGTAATGAATGCCACATAAAATCCACGTCCTTAGTGTCATTTCACACAGATGTGAATCTGGGAAGTAAAGTTTTAGTACAGCTGCTGGGTCCAAGGTATGTCATTGTTAACCTTGGCACTTTTGTACTTTTTTTTTTTTTTGGTACCAGGCATCGAACTCAGCACCTTGCACTTGCGAGACAGGCACCGGAACCACTGAGCTAAATCCCCGGCCTGGCACTTTTGTACTTTTAATTGGCGATTCTCTTGGCACCGTAGAGGGTGAACCTCTTTTGTGTGTCTTTTGCCTGTTTACTTCGTTTGGCAGTTTCTCTTGAAGTTATTGGTCTTTCTCGTTTCTTCTTTAGTTTCAGAGACAGGGTCTCTCTGTCCTGCCCAGGCAAACCTTGCACTCCTGGGCTCAAGTGATCTTCCTGCCTCGGTTTCCTGAGTAGTTAGTCTTTTCTGTAAAACTTTTTTCCTAAGTTTGTCATTTGTCTCCCTGCCATTTTCTTTCTCTCTTATCATGTGGAAGCTTTATTTTATGCCTTTGGGGTTTGGGGCCCCGCTGAGATTTGTTTGGTGTCTGGATGGGGAATGGAGGGGAGACTGGGGGTTTGGTGCCCTGTGATGTCTCTAGAAGAACAGGTGCCAGCCACAGTTGGCATTCACAACCTCAGCCGCCCTCCTGTGGGGCAGTTCCTGTCTTTGACACCCCCAAGCTGCCTCCGCCCGCCCCCAAGCCTGCCTGCCCCTGGGCTGAGGGTCAGGCCAGGACAGGGCTTTGGCTGACAGCTCACCCCACCCCAGTAGGATGAGCCACTGTGTCCCAGGGCATCACCGCTGGACCCTCAGCCACCCGTACTTAGGGCTCAAAAAGACCAAACACCATGCGTGCGTGAGTGCGTGCGTGGGTGAATGCGTGCTGGAGGTCCTCGTCCTGGCCATGTGACCACGCCTACTCTCTTCAAGGTCACCGAGGTGTCACTAGCTTCCCACTGCTTTGCCTGGGGTCACTGCTGGACCCATTGACCAAAACAAATGGTTGTACGTGTAGGCCCAAGACCAGAGCACCTGCACGGACCAGTGACTCCTTAAGGAAGACCTTTAGCTTCCTTACCAGCCACAGGCTCGGTTCTTCAAGGTAGCAGGAGGAAACCTACAGTCTGCTGGGTAGAGAGTGTCTAGCATGGCCCCTGGCTCGGGACACCACTTGGGAATTCGTTCCAAATGCAAATTCTGGTTCTGACCCGAACATTCTGGTTGTGGAGCCCAGCGACCTGTGTGACATCATGACCGATACACAGTGAGAAGGAGCAGCTGTGGCAGTGGACAGGTGGCTGCCCAGGAGGGCTGCTGCTAGCTGGCAAGAGCAGGCAGGTTGCCAGAGTCTCTGAGAGGCTGGTGGTCATAGCTGGTTGGGGTCCCTCCTGGACAGTTTAAGTGGCCTGGCACATTGCCACAGATCTGTGTACAGAGGGACTTAGGATCAGTTATCCCACTTGCTGCCCTGGGTTCCAGGCCTCTGCCCCCCTGACTGACATATGAGTAATCACTTACCCTCTGAGCTTCAGCTCTCGGGGTTTCTTCCCGCTGGCAGGAGTCGGCTGGGCCCCCTCGCCTGGTGCACGGAGAGGGAATGGAGAGGGTCACCTGCTCACCTCAGAGTAGCTTGGACACAGGGACTGTCGGGAGAGCTAGGGATAAGGGCCCAGGGAGAGAAGGCAAACAGACCCAGAGCCCTGAGGCCGTGTCCTGTCTGGTGCCCGAGAACAGGTGCCACACCCAGGCTGTGCCCCAGTCAGCAGAGGTGGTCAAGAAGTGGGGTGGACTTGAATTTTTATTAGTCTGTGTTTGCAGCACATAACGGTTACATTCACAGTGGGGACTTGGTGCGAGTATGTAACATGTTTTAATTCTTTTTCACCCCCTCCCTCCATCTCTCGGCCCTCTTCTCTTTTGTCAGAAGATCTATCTTCCTGTGTCCTATTATCTATCTTTTATCTTGCTGTTTAATTTATTTATCCTTTGGGTTTCTTATATAAGACAAACCATATGATAGTTAAGCCTGTATATCTGAGTTTTGTCACTTTACATTATGGTCACAAGGTGTGTCTGTTTTCTTACAAATGACTCAGGTTTATCCTTCTTTATAGCAGAGAAGTACTGCACTGTTGGAAACCCACAGGCTCAGGCTTGAGACTGGTGAATCCCTGTAGCCACGGTGCAGGGCCTGGCCCTGAAGTCCTAGCTGGAGGCCTTGGAAGGATTGGGGACCGGGAAGCAGGGAGAAGGGAGGGTGTAAACTCCGTTGCAACAAGTGAGACTGTGCACCCGCTCCTGCTGGGCTCCTGCGGTCACTGTTCTCATGAGGAACTGGGCCAGCAGGCCTGGGTGGAGAGGACGCTGGCCACAGTCTGAATGCCCCTTCTCTCCCCTTTCAGATCTGACCATGAGCTACCCAGGGTACCCCCCTCCTGGTGGTGGCTACCCGCCAGCTGCACCAGGTAAGAGGGGCTGGGTGGTCCTGAGTGAGAGGAATCGGAGTTGCCTCCCTCCCCATCCTCCCTGGCACAGCCTTGTGGGAGGAGAAAACAGAGGAGGGAGCCACCCAAGGCTTGGAACTGGTTCCAGGAGGCCTGGACAGGGCCAGGGTCCTCCTGCCTTGTTAGCCAGTAACTGTGAACAAGTCTTTCACCTTTCTGAGGCTCCGTTTTCACCTTTGGAAAATGACTTCCAGGATCTCTTGAAGGGTTGTCCTGGACACCAGAGATAGACATGGTGTCCCCCAAAGCTTTGCCATTGTCACAGATGCTGGTTGCACAGCAGCCGGGCCCCAGCTTGGAAGGAAGTGGAGGCACTGGTCAGGTGACTGAAACTGGCCCAGCAGCAAAGTTTGTCTTGACCCTTAGGAGTCCTTTGTCCTATTTGGTCCCAATATCAGGAAAGAAGTGGGAGGGCTCTGGGGATGAAGGGGAGACAAAGGCCATTTTGAAGACGGTCATCCTAAGGGTGTCTGAGCTGCACTGTCACCCACCCTGCGGGGCCCGTGGCCGTAGTCATTCATCCTGGGGAGCTGAGGTCCCTCGGCCAAAGCACCCGATCCTGCAGCCCATTTGAACTCGCTGTCCCTCACCTTCAGCAGACAGAGGACAAGCCCCAGCAGGGCGGTGGGTCAGCCACTTTCACAGGGCCACACCGCTTGAGCCGTGCACCCCCCCCCCCCGACTGGTTAACACTGAGTTCGCTCCCCTCTGCAGCACAACTCCTGCTGTCTGTGTCCTGTTCCCTTTGTCAGCACTGCTGTTCCACCCCCGAGCAACAAGAGAGGGCAGACAGGTGACTTAGGAAAGGCTGTGCCATGAGCTGAGCATCTGCAGCCCCCACCATGGTGCCAGCCGCCCTGCTGCAGGTCTCAGTGGCAGTGGTCATGCATGGCATTGCTCACTCAGCCCTCACTGCAGCATCTTGGTCTGCGGGAGACAAGCCCAGAGTAGCTGAGAGCCCCAGGACATAGCTGGCTTGCTGGTCCAGAGCCTGGCTTGTCACCGCTGTCCCCTTATGGGTAATGGTTGGGGCCCATGTTTCCCATGATACAGGTCTGAGTCCCTCCAGCCTGTCACTGCGTCTCCCTTCCTGTTACCGACTTACCACAGTGAAGAGCTCAGCTGGTGGGACCCCTGCCCTGTGCCTGTGCAGCTCTGTGAATCCATGGGCCCCCTGGAGTTTGCCATTGTCCCAGGCCCAGCAGAGTCCCAGGGTGACGGTTCTGTGCCTGTCCTCCTGCTCTGTGTCGTGGGGCCTGTGTGCCTCCTGAATACCCCACTGAGTATTCAGTGGGGAACAAGTGCGAGGCCTCCTCTCTGTCCTGACTCCCCACTGGGCCTTTCTGTCCTCTGCAGCGCTGGCCCGAGGCTCTGCTTGGCCACCTCTCCTGACCCCCTCCGCCTTCCCGCATCGGGCAGGGGACAGACTGGGGCTGAGGGCTTGGTGTTACTTGCAGGTGGCGGTGCCTGGGGAGGTGCTGCCTACCCTCCGCCCGGTGGGGCCCCCATTGGGCTGGATAACGTGGCCAACTACGCAGGGCAGTTCAACCAGGACTACCTCTCAGGAATGGTGAGTCTGTCCTTCTTCTGCCCGGGGCACAGCCACACAGCTGGGAAGCAAGGCTGCTGGTCACCGGGGCCGTGGAGTGTGCCCAGCTGCCTCTTAGAACAGGAGGGTCTTCATCAAGGCTCTACCAGCCACCCAATGCTCTCCCTTCTGTAAATTGAAGAGTAGGAGATGCACTGAACATGTGGTCTTTCTGGGCCCTTACAGTCCTGGGGCGGTTGTGGGGGCGGGTGTGTCCTCATATGGATGGCTGTTCTGGTTTGGTCCTGGGTGGGAGTATGGCAGTAGCTTGGGCAGATATGCCCAACTTTTATTTGTTGTTTTGCTTTTAAAATAATATATTTTATAATCTGAAAACAAGTGTGTGCTTAGTGGAAACAATGCAACCAGTACACACCCAAATTTGTGCGAGGCCCAGTTCTAGGCACTGGGGATTTGTGAATAGAACAAACAGGAGTCTCAGGCCGGGTGCATTCTCTGAATGGAAAGGGACAGCCAGAGTCAGCTCCATGGCAGTCCTGAGACGGGGAAGCTTCAGGAGCAAGAGGAGCTGGTGAGAGGGTTAGGAGCTGGATGGGTGGGGTGGGGTGAGGTTTTAGGGCAGGAGTGGACATAGGGCAGAAAGGGACATGGACAGAGGTCTGAAGCAGGGGAGGGGTGTGTTACATCGATGGCTGGGACCACCAGACCCTGTGGCGCTGCGGACCTGGAGTGGCCTGGGCAGCAGTGGAGGCCAGGGTGGCTGAGGAGGGCAGCAGAAGGGGCCCAGGTCTCCTGCCCAGGCTCCAGGCCTTCATTCTGATGAGCTCGGGTCACTTGCCGCCTGAGGTGTGTGTTCAGCAGGGTGACGAGATGAGCCCCACCAAGCCCAGGAGACACCCTTGTACTTTCTGGGGCTCTAAACTCTACCTACACTCATGGGCCTGGGAGGAAGGCTGAATCCCTTGTGGAAAGGGTGGAGGTGACTGGTCGGGGTCCCGAGGGAGCCAGGGCGCTGGCTGCACCTCCTGAAGTTAGGTTGGCTATGGTGTGGTGGGCACTTGGTCCCCCAGTGGGACGGCGCTGTGGTCAGGGGAGGCCAGTGGGTAGAGCACGGCTGGGCCTGCAGTGAGTCACAGGCTCTGCTTCGTGTCCTTGCAGGCGGCCAACATGTCAGGGACGTTTGGAGGAGCCAACCTGTATCCCGGAGCCCCCGGGGGAGGCTACCCTCCTGTGCCCTCTGGTGGCTTCGGGCAGCCCCCTCCTTCCCAGCAGCCTGTTCCTCCGTATGGAATGTACCCGCCCCCTGGAGGAAACCCGCCCTCTGGGATGCCTTCCTATCCGCCCTACCCAGGGGCACCCATGCCACCCCCTGGGCAGCCACCAATGACCTACCCTGGGCAGCAGCCAGTGCCACTCCCGGGACAGCAGCCGACGCCAAGCTACCCGGGATACTCAGGGTCTGGGACCGTCACCCCTGCTGTGCCCCCAACCCAGGTGAGTGCTGGTCTAGCCCTGAGCCCAAAGGCTGGAGGCTCTTGGCCAGGGATGGGAAGGCTCAGTCCTGCAGCTTACACTTCTTGGTTTATTGGAGTGTACTTTTCTCCCGGGCCCCTGGCCCTGGCGCTGAGAGAGCTGCCTGCCCCTTCTCCCAATCTGGTTAGACATCCCGAGTACAAACTGGGTCAGGATGCCCCAGCAGCAGCCTTCATTCCAGCTGTGATTTACTGGACGGTGTGCTCTGAAAGAGCTGCCGGGCCACCATCCTCCAGGCCCTGGTGCCCAGCAGCCCCATGGTGTGCCTTCCGGGATGGGTTTTGGAGGTTCTTACAGTCCCCTCTGGGGAGGGAAAATTGTTGGCAGGTCCTTCGGGGTTGATCTTGGCTCTCTTTGGAGAATAGTTTGTGTTTGCAGAGCCTAGAATTCATTGTCATGGTTACATGGCCAAACTGGCTCAGCACAGGGCTGGTGATACGTTTGGGGTGACTATTTTTAGACAGAGGGTCCTCTCCATCCCTCCCAACCCTTGCCTCATGGTCCCTCTCTCCATTGTCTCCTCTCTGCACACGTGTCTGCTACTGTACCAACCACTAGGAAGACAAGGTGCCAGCAGACAGTTTAGCCTGGTGGCTGTGTACCTTTGAAAAGTTGGGTGCTGCACCTCCTGGGGCCGCATGGACTAGCTGGGCCCTGCTGGGAGCACTGAGTGTGTGCCACATTGCTCTGTGGCAGGGGAAGGCCAGCGGCCTCTGCTCCTGCAGCCTGCCCTTCCGGAGCCGGTGTCAGCCCTGCGGGGGATGGGTGGGTGTAGGACAGATTCTCGGGGCCAGGATTTAGCCATGGGGACTCCCAGCTCGGCAGCCAGGAAGGGGTCCAGTACCAGGATGTGCAGATGGGTAACACCATGTTGGGCAGCCTCGGTTAGAGCCCTGTGGCAGTGCTGTTGATTTCTGGGTCCTTCAGACACTCCAACTCTTGTCTCGAGGTCTGGGGGTGGAGCGGCTGAGGGAGGTGGCATGCAGATCCTCTTACCTGTGACTGTCTGCAGTTTGGAAACCGAGGCACAATCACAGATGCTTCTGGCTTTGACCCCTTGCGAGATGCCGAGGTCCTGCGGAAGGCCATGAAGGGCTTTGGTGAGAGACCCGGGGGTTGACATCCTTCCCTTACCCCTGGGCAGATTCCTGGGAGGCCAGCTGGGCCCAGTGGCGATGGAAGAGGAGGTGATGCAAGGTGTGGTTGGGTCGCCCGGGGAGAATTGGAAGCTGCAGGCCGGGCTGTCCACAGGTGCAGAGCATCCCAGTGACCCTCGGCTCTGCGGCTCCCACCTCTTCCTCCCCAGGCACCAATGAGCAGGCCATCATCGACTGCCTGGGGAGTCGCTCCAACAAGCAGCGGCAGCAGATCAGCCTGTCCTTCAAGACGGCCTACGGCAAGGTGAGGGCCTGGTGAGGCACAGGGCCGCCTCTGGCGGTGGGGTGGCCACAGTCCCCCTCACTTGCTTCTCTGTGGAACTGGGCTGGCCTGGACCTGGGGCTGGATGCTGAGCTGCTCTAGGGCACTTCCTGCTGCCACCCCCTGGTGCAGGATGCCCCAAGGGAGCAGTCCCTGAGTTCACAGGGGACTGAAGTTGGCACAGGTGCCCAGAGTTCTGGGTTCTAGCCGAAACTCACGAGACTGGGCACTTCATTTCCCCTCCCCTGGTCTCAGTTTCCCTTCCTGTGCACCTGGGGAGGTTTTGCTCATGTGAGCACTTTGGAGGAAAAGGCTTTCGGGTCAGAATAGATAACCAGGGGGCTGGGCTTGGACTCCCAGAGGCGAGTGCTGTAGCCAGTGCCCCTCCAGCCTCAGCACCTTGTGTCCCTGGCAGTGCAGGCTCTGAAGAGGGTACCGGCAGGGCCTGAGGTCAGGCTTTTCTCCCTGGTACCTGGGTGATGTCCATGTCCCTGAGGTGACCCTGGAATCTGTTCTCATGCGTCACCCCCGGGGAATCTCAGCGTTGGCTTATTTTACGTGCTTGTTTGAATATCTAACCAGGATTTGATCAAAGACCTGAAATCTGAGCTGTCGGGAAACTTTGAGAAGGCCATCTTGGCTCTGATGAAGACCCCAATCCTGTTTGATGCATATGAGATAAAGGAGGCCATCAAGGTGTGTATGTGTGACTGTGTGTGTGTGTGTGTGTGTGTGTGTGTGTGTGTGTGTGTGTGTGTGTGCGTGCGCATGCGCGCCCGTGCCCAGGAGGAAGCCTGCGTGATGTGAGGTCTTTTGCTCAGTGGGCTCCTGGCTTGGAGTCTATGTGCTGTGGGAAGGGGTTTTCTTGCACTTTCCCCCAGCGTTTGCTCCTGTCAGGGGCCCAGCCGCAGTAGGGACCAGTTGTCCCTTCTTCAGATCCCAGGTGGGCAGCCCTGACTGACACTCAGCGCCTGCTCTCCATCTCCTCCATCCAGTCATTTTTGGCTGGGGCTTATCAGGTCCTTAGGGTCCAGCACGGGGCTGGCTTAGCCTCCGCCCAGCACAACCTCCAGCGGCTTCCTGGGGTGGGGGGGCAGTGGTGCCCAGGATGTATGGAGGCCCTAGGTAAGGTGGCTGGTGCATACTACACCCTCTGTAAATGCCGAGTAATCCGAGGGTAGCCGTGGGCAGTGGTAGTCATAAAAACAGCTGACCTATGCCATACTTCTTGCCTGACCTGAACTGAGTGGTCTATATACATTAACTCACGTAATCCTCATGACTCCTACACGGATCACTCCCATTTTATGGACCAGGAGCCCAAGGCACAGAGAGGCTAAGTAACTTGCCCCAGGTCACACAGCAAGTAAGCCTCGGAGCCAAGATTCAGACCTACCTTGAAGCCAGGCTGCTGACCCTGTCCTCTTCTGCCTGCTGTGCCTAGCCTGCTAACTCCTTTGTCCTCACTGTTGCTGCCCTGTCCTAGAGGTTTCCACACACTCTGCAGTCCACTGGGGACTCTGGTGTTTCCACATGGCCACTCTGACCTCTTGCTGTCAGCTCATCTTCCCAGTTGTCATCTCACTCGCTCTCGGGCTCAACTTGGAACACAGCCACCGACCACGTGCTGGGCGGTTGCTGCACCTCTCTGAGCCTCAGTTTCCTGGAAGGCTGTTGTGGATCCCTTCCCAAGAGATCGTTTGTGACATGGTGCTGGCGGTGCAGTGGCGGTGTCTCTGTCAGAGGCCCCATCACTGTGCGGCTTCTGCTGTCTCTCCTGGTCACTGCCACAGCGTGTGGTCTGCTCTGTTCTCCGCCACTGCAGGGGGCTGGTACGGATGAACCCTGTCTGATCGAGATCCTGGCTTCCCGCAGCAACGCGCACATCCAGGAGCTGAACCGCGTCTACAAAGCAGGTGCCTGCTGCACCCGCACAGCCTCTGCACCCCATGGTGTTGGCTGCACCCTCCCTGGACCCTGGACCCCTCCAGACCTCCTTATCACCACTTCCTGCCACTCCCGGCCCGCTGGGTCGCACTGATGCCCTGCCCTGCCTGCAGTTTACCTGGGCAGGTGGCTGGGTGGGGCCGGCTGGGACCAGAGCCGTGACAGCCCCCAGGTCTCAGGCTTGTGTGTCCCTGGAGGACCTTGTGGACCACGTGTCTCCCCTAGCCCTGGACCCTGGGCCCTTCTCCCACTGCTGCCCAGGGTTGACCAGATCTGCAGTGGGCCACAGGGTGACCTTCCTGTGCCTCCTCCTTAGAATTCAAAAAGACGCTGGAGGAGGCCATTCGCAGTGACACATCTGGGCACTTCCAACGGCTCCTCATCTCCCTCTCTCAGGTGCCTTCCCCGCAACAGGAAATTGGAATGGGGTCGGGTGGGGGAGTGGGCAGGAAAGGCAGAGAATGAGAGTGTCGTTGTCGTGCATCCCTCCAAGGCGTGGGCTCGACCCTGTACCCTGCTTCCTTTCAGGGAAACCGAGATGAAAGCACAAATGTGGACACGTCCCTCGTCCAGAGAGACGTCCAGGTGAGTGGCCGGGCTGGGCAACCCCTGGCTTCCTGAACCAGGGGTGTCCACTACCCTCTCGCTTCAAAGGAGGAGGTGCTCTGGGATTGAAAGAACGGTGGACATGGTCCAGCTTCTGGGTCCTCTGCCCCTCGCCACTCATGGGCTGTGCCCACGAGCAGGTCACTGGCCTTCTGGACTTCGCTTTCCCCTGCTTGTAAGGGAGGGAAATAGTGCTGGGGATTTAGCTCGGTGGCACTGCACCTGCCTCGCAAGCGCAAGGTCCTGAGTTCAATGTTCGGTACCAAAAAAAAAAAAGTCAAGGGAGGGAAATAGTAAGCATTGCAGCGGTTGATCAGTCACAGTTATGAGTGTGGGTCTCACGTGACCGGTGCCCGCCCCGTGTCCAGGTGCAGTACCATTCTGTTTGCATAGTGCAGAATTGGCCTCCTGCTAAGCTTCAGAGGGTGGGAGCCTGGAAGCCAGCTGTCACCTTGGTATTCAGCCTTAATTTTCCCATCCCCCTTGAGCTGCAGACAAATGGGGGAAAGTCCAGACAGCTGAGCGGCTCCCTAGAGAAGCTTGCATTTCCCAACCCTGGCATCTGGGCTGGAGAGAGCCTGGCTGCCTGGTGGGATGGAGCTGGGGTACCTTCCCCGCCCTTCCTGGAGGCCAGAGGTCGCATGCTCTCCCTCCTTTGTCCCTGACCTGTGTCAGCCTCACCTTAACCTGCAGCTGAGTCCTTCAGAGCGGCTTCCTTGGACATTGGATCCTTAAGTCCAAGGCTGCTGCCTGTGCTTGAAGGCCTGTTAGAGGCCACTAGGGCAGGGTTGCAAGTAGGCAAGTATTTTGGGTACAGACCTTCAAAAGTTTAGCAGGCAATTGCCAGCTGTGCCCCTTGGCAAACCTGCTTAATGGTCTAGGTAATGAAAAATACCAAATTACATGAAATCCCACATCCACAACTGTGGTCTCTCAGCTGTTGGAATGTTCATTGTCTCACATGTTCCTTCTCATCTATAGGGAAGTTGCTTCTCAAGATTGGGCAGTTTCACACAGCAGTGTGGGTTTTATGGTCCTGCTGCTAAGAGCTCCCCTCTGGGTGGTTAGCCTTGGCCCCTCAGCCCTACGCCACATTTTCCCACGGCACCCCAGCCTCAGAAGACCCCTTGCTGCCCAGGAGGGGATGTGGGCCGCTGGCTTCCGGGTCGGTTGTGAATGAGGCCTTTGAGGCTTCCAGGGCGCTGGTTCCATGTCTTTCCCCTCTGGGACTGAGGCCACACATGCCCCACCTTGGCTGGGTGACCTGGGGCTGGGCCTCCGGACAAGGCCGGCACTGCATGTCTTCCTCCTCACGCAGGAGCTGTATGCGGCTGGGGAGAATCGCCTGGGAACAGATGAGTCCAAGTTCAACTCCATTCTGTGCTCTCGCAGCCGGGCCCACCTGGTGGCAGGTAAGGCAGTCCAGGCCTCCCAGGGCTGAAGGGGAGCTGAGCTTCCTTTCGTCCCCTGCTGGTGACTTACCAGATACCACCCAGGGCTTTAGGTCAGCAGGGGCTCTGGAGGAAGCCAGGGTGGGACATGGGCCACTGCTGGCTGACTGCTGGTGTATGGGGCCATGCAGCTGGAGGCGTCCTGGGGCCGCCTCACCAGGGGCTCGACTGTGGTATGACACAGTTGAAACAAACACTAGGTAACTGTCTGCTTACTCGAGCCCCATGTACCATGGAGCTCTGGCCACGTGCCCATCCCGGAGCAGGGTTGAGGGTGCCTTGGGGAACAGCACCACAGTCCTGTCCTCACCGGGCTCGCTGCCTTGTTCAGGGACAGCCAGGGAGCACATGCGGAGCAGCCTCTGTGTCAGGCGGTGGCTCCTGTAGAGAGAAATGGCAAGACTGGAGTCAGGCAGGCACAGTGGGGCCAAGCCAGGGAGAAGCCCGTGACACAGTCCCCTGCAGTGGGGACTTGGAGGGAACACTGGGAGGGCCTCTCTGGGAGGGCGCTGGGAGGAGGGAGGCAGGGCTTGTGGAGTTAGGGGTTCGCTGGGCTCTGAGTGGAGAGCGGTAATGCCTGTCTTTTCTTGGTTTTGTTCTTTTGAGATAGTCTCATTATGTAGTTCAGGCTGGCCTTGAGCTCACGGCGATCCTTCTGCCTCAGCCTCCTGAGTGCTGGGATTACAAAGCCTGTGTCACCATGCCCAGCTAGCCTGTCTTAAATATACTCAGAACACTTACCCTAGCCATAGTGGGGCAGAATTCTCTAGCACAGAGCCTGGCTTGTAACAGTGTTGAATATTTCTCTAATGTAGTGGACACTATACTGAGAAGGAAAAACAGAATTGTTGTGGGGTGCAGTTTCTAAAGCAAAACAAATCCTCAGTGGTGGCCACACGTGGTGGTGCGTACCTGTAATCCCAGACTCCAGAGCATAAGGCTAGAGAATCGCTGTGAGTTTGAGGCCAGCCTGGGCTCCATAGTGAGACCCTGTCTGAAAAACCCAAAAAACAAAACAAAACAAAAATCATGAGACAGGATCCTGTGTATATGCACACCTCTGATCTCTGGCTCTTCTGATTTCCATCCCTTATGTGGGACACCAGCTAAACAAGCTCAGCCCCACCTGACAGCATTCTGCTAATGCAGTCACCTCTTTAAAGACTCCATCTCCAAATACAGTTTTATTCCACAGTACCTGGGGCTAGGACGTTAACATGGATTTGCGGGGACCCAGTTTGCTCTGTGACATGTGTCTCTGTCTGCCTGTAGTGTTTAACGAGTATCAGAGGATGACGGGCCGGGACATCGAGCAGAGCATCTGCCGGGAGATGTCGGGGGACCTGGAGCATGGCATGCTGGCCGTCGGTAGGTGTCCCAGTGGCCAGTGTGTCACCAGCTGCTAGAGTCTCCTTGTGTCTGCTTGAGGGGTGGTGCATTGAAAGAACCTCAGGAGCTCATATTGCAAGTGCAGTGTCTGACTGGTGGGACCTCATGCTGCTCTCAGGCCGGAGTGCAGTGAGCCCTGCTGTCTGGGATGGGTGTGTCTTGTTTATGTTCCCCCGGTGGCTGAGGAGAGGGGCCCTGCAGTGTGGGCATTGGTGGGAGGGCATCCAGCCGCTCTCTGGGAGGAAGGTGACTCACATCCTGCCAAGTTTCCTCTAAAAATACCTCCCCGCAGGCACTTGTCAGATGTTTGTGATGGAAACACGGGAAGATTTTTACTTGCAACAGCAAAACAGGACCGTTCCAGGGAAAGCTGGCTGAGGTCCGGCAGCTGCGCCTCCAAAGCAGGGTGCGGGCTCCGGGTCTGTCCCGCCGTGTAGGCTTGGAAAATCTTTTGCCCATTGTTTTCATGGCGCTTTTCTCGGACAGACAGTAAATCCTCACTCATTTCTTTGCACATCCCCCATGGTGTGGTTCATGGCCTGAGAACTCCAGAAAGGCACCGAGTTTGCTCAGCCACTCTGTCTCCATGCAGGTCACAGTATTGCAGTTGGCCTGCTTAGCAGCACAGTCCTTCACCACTCACAGTTCTTCCTTCCGGGCCCCTGTGGTTCTCAATCCTTTTATCACAGAGGCTGCCAGGAAAAAGAGTGGATTGGTGTCCAGGCTCTGGTGCCCCTGTTCCACAGAGCTGGAGTCACGATCATGGGATAGCTGCGCCTGGAGGCAGGGGTGATGAGAGGGGTGCAGCTGTGGGCTTGGCATCCCGGCCTCCTGGGAGGACACACGTGTACTCCATGCCTTCCTGGACTGAGTTTCCTGAAGATCAGGTTATGCCTTGTTCCTCTCTTCCAGTGAAATGTCTCAAGAACACCCCTGCCTTCTTCGCTGAGAGGCTCAACAAGGCCGTGCGGGTATGTAACTCGGGGGTTGCCCGACCTGAGACCGCGGCCGCTCAGCCAGGAGTCTGAAGGCTGTGAGTGGGGAGGCGGAGGGTGCGGCCTGTTGCTCATGCCTCTGGGCCGACTCTTTAGGGAGCAGGAACCAAGGACCGGACACTGATTCGAATCATGGTGTCCCGCAGCGAGGTTGACCTCCTGGACATCAGAACGGAGTACAAACGGATGTATGGCAAGTCGCTGTACCATGACATCACGGTACGGACCCTGGCCACCTCCTGGCCACCCCGTTCCCTTCCGCTCGCCCTCTTTGGAAGAGCCCGAACTTGGTCTCTGGGCTGCACATGGGTGCCAGGTTGATGGCCCTCAGCTCTGTTCTCTTCAGCTTCCCTTGTTCCTACAGGTGCTCCCAAGCAGATTGTCAGCTCCTGAGGGTGGGGCAGGTCTTAGCCCTGCATCCCTGGCCTCCCGGAGCCCCGCTGCTCAGTAATTGCCTGGGGTGTCCACCCAGCAGCACTCAGAAAATCTCAGGGCCTCTCCTACCTTGGCCTTGACCTTCAAGTCCCAGCCACTCTGAATTGTGATCCATCAGATAGAAATCCCGTCCCAAAGGCTTCTGGAGCACAGGTCTGGCTCCCTGATTACTTGTAAGGCATAGTAAGGCAGCAGCTCAGTGCAAGGCCTGTGGTCTCACCTAGGAGTCTGGTTCGGGCCTTTCTACATGCTAACTCTGTGATCTCAAACCTGCCTGGGCCCCAGGCCAGCATGTTTAAGGTGAGGATAGTGGTAGTTCCTCCCAAGGAGTGGTGTGAATATTGAACAGGCAGTCTATACCAAGTGTCTAACAAACACTGGCTGCTCTGGGTCACTGTGTACCAGGGCAGGCTGACAAAACATGCTCTTGTCTAGCCGGACTGATGGTACATTCTGACCGTTACCTAAACTTTGAAATTGAAAAAGTCACCCGGCCCAGGTCCTCATTCCAGACTCACTAGCATTTGACACTGTTGGGCTCCTCTGAAAGAAGTGACTGTCCGTTTGTATGTTATAAAGATGCTGCTGTGATCAGCAGAGAAGTGGTAATTAGAGACAGAGCACCTCCTGAGGGCCAGCCGGCTATGCTCTCTAGAAGAAGCCATAGGCCTTGCCCCCTGAGAGCCAGGGTGGCAGGAAGTGATTAGGGATCAGTGGAGCCCCTCTGCCCCCCAACAGTGAGTACAGAGGTGTCAAATAGGGCAGAGCTCCCAGAAACTGGGCACCCTGGGTGACAACAGTGTCCTCTGTTTTGTGGCCACGGAGATAATGTGTCCCCAAGTAGGACACATTGTGCCTCGTGGTAGAACCCCAGTTTGTGTCCTGCAAGTGCCTGGGGAAAGGAATATTGGTGAGCCCCAGGTAGTGGTTTTGAGGCTGATTTTAAATTTTGTTGTGGTTATTTATTTACGTTTGATCACTGGGACGAGTGCATCTTTCTGTTCTTTAACAGAGGCTTGGGAATGGCTGAGGTGGATGTCCCAAGGTACAGGCCACCTGCTTTGGGACAGACGGGGCAGGGATACACACACACACTCACAAACAGACACACATATCTCCTTAGCGTGGGTCTGCTGTCCACAAAGGCACTTGGGCCAGGAGAAAATCAGCCGACAGGAAGTGGCCATACCTCACTTAACTGATGTCCTTGTTCCTGTGACCAGGGAGACACTTCTGGGGACTACAGGAAGATCCTGCTGAAGATCTGTGGTGGCAATGACTGAGCAGTGACTGGTGGCTCGCTTCTGCCCCCTGCTGGCAAGGCAATGCCAGGATGAGGCCAAATGATTGTTTCTCACAAATCCACCCAGTAACCCCAAGGTGTACATCTATCCCTAGAGCCTTGGCCCTGTCCTGCCTTCCCCCTCTTGGCCTGGTCACCCTGCTGAAGGGCCTGGTTGTGGCTAGAGCTCCCTCGGGGAGCCTTCTTCTGCTCCCCACAGCCTCTGGCTGTTAAGAGTAGATGTTTTATTTCCTGACTTGTGCAATCATTCCTTGTTACTTGTGGCTAGACTCTCAGCATCATTTTAGTTGTGTAATTTTATATTCTCCCTTGGAGGCATATTTTCTTTTTTTAATTGTCATTGCCCGGCAGATGCATGTTAGTCTTGTGTACCAATACACGTTTCTAGTGAGAACCATGAACCTCACTAGGGCCTGCAAAGGTAATGTCTGCATCTGGTGAGAATGTGTCATGAGCTTTGTTTTTGCCAAACCCCACCTCCTTTTTAGAAAAAAGGCCAGACAGTCATTTCTTCCATCTCCCATGCAAAACCTTGTGGTCCCATGCAAAGCCTGTTCCTGACCAGTGACAGGGCTCCTTGTACTTTGGAATGTGCCTTAAACCTGAATATCTGCAGCCAAAAACTTTCCAAATTAAAGTTGGCCAGCTCTGGAATGTTCTGCAAATGTGTTTCTGGTGCCAGCTTGTTTTCTTCCGCTTCAGGGCCTAGGGGTTCTGGCTTATTAGCCAGTGAAAATCTATACCACTTGAAGTAGAAATCGGTGCTTGGAAACCCTGAGCATAGCTCACTCGTGGAGACTGATATACGGACATGAGAAGGGGCTCCCCAAAACCATGCCGGAGGCCAGGCGCTGACAGGGCACAAGGATCCTGGTGGGGTACAGGTGCAGGCCCCCAAGAGTGAGACAAGGAGGGTGTGGTCCACCACCCAGGTCCTGGAAAAGGGGCACAGGTGGGAGCCTTCAGGTAAAAGAGAGCATGTGGCTCTCATCCCTACAGGCCCTCTGGGCCTTAGGAGAGGGACTCCAGAAGGGACAAGGTTCTAGGAAGCACCATGTCTTATCCAGAAGCACAGAGCTGGGCTCCCTGAGTACAGGGTTCCACCCCCTTCCTCCCTGACCTGTGTTAAGAGTCAAGAAAGGGAAGAATCCAGAGAGACTTGGCTGGATTTGAGCCTGCTGGGCCCTGGCAGGAACCCAGGGAGTGGCCCGTGTGCAGGGTAGACATCTGCTTGGGGACAGTGCCTGACACATCACTGGCTCTAAGCAGTGAGAAGAGGGATGGCAGCCAGGAGGCTCCATGGAGCCCTCGGGAGCTGGGCATTAGCCTGCAGCTTGACCTGCCTTCCTGAGCTGCTGCTGGCATGGGCATTGGGATGGATCTCTTCTTCAGCATCCATGACAGGCCTTGGGAGCCAGAGCTCAAGCTGAGGTCCCACCCCTGCTGGTCTCCCTGGAAGCCCCTCCTCTGGGGCAGGTCTTTGCCCATGGGGTGCCAGCTGGTGGGAAGGATGCCAGGCATAGTACATGTCCTGAACTCAGCCTGAGCCTGCTGGCCTCCTGAGCTGTGATGGGGCCTAGAGCTAATGTGCTCTGATGTGATTGTGAATGTCTGGTGGCATTGCTTTCTCTACACTCAAGTTCTCAGCTTGGTGCCCAGCCAGCAGTGTTGAGCTTATACATACATTTACTTTGGTCCCCAAGAGAATTTTTAGAAATTTGAATTTGTTGCCAACATGTAAGCATTGGGAGCTTTAATGTTTTAAAAATCTGCAATTCTTCAAATTCTTATCTCACGCGCGCACACACACACACACACACACACACACACAGATTCACTGGGGCCTGTATTCCTGCTTGGCTGGAGCCAGTTTCAGTGCCCCCTTTAGGCATGGGTTTTCCACTGGCCAAGGGTCCGCCACTTCTTGTATCATAACGGGCCTTGTTATTGTGGCCCCTGCAGACCCTTAAATTTGAGACCCCTGGAATACACACAGGCCATCTTTGTTCTGAGTGCTGGCTCTCCCTACCTTCCTCTGCCTCTGGTTGCCCTTTTGATCATGCCCAAAGGACAAAGCCTGTCTTAGTCACTTTCTTCTTGCTAGGACAAAATACTTGGACAAAGTACCCACAACTTAAAGGAGGAGAGGTTTATTTTGGTTCACGTTTCAGTCCATAGTCCATTGGCTTCAATGCAGGATGGCATGGCAGAGGGCCATGGTGGAGGAGGGCTGCTCACAGCATGCTGAACAGGAAGCAGAGAGTGGAGGTAGGAGCTGGGGAGGGAGATAAAGCCAGGCCTTTCCCCACTGACCTACCGCCTCTGATCAGACCCCACCTCTCAACAGCAAGTCCCATAGTCCAGTCACCTTCTAAACATGTGAGGCTTTGGGGGCCATTTTAGATCTAAACAATAACATTCCATTTCTGGCCCCTCAAACACTCATGTACATTGCTTTATGCAAAATACATTTAGTCCCTCTCTAAGCATTGTCAAAGTCCTAACAGTTCCAGCAGTGCTGAGAAGTCCACGTCCAAAATCTCCTTTAAGACTTAAGAAAAACTCTTAGCTGTGAGTCCCTATAAAAGTTAAAAAGAAAGTTAAACACTGCTGATATACAATGGCACAGGATAAACATTCCCATTCCAAAAGGGAGAAATAGGGGAGTAGAAATGAACGGGACCCAAACAAGACCAAAGCCCAAAGGGCAAACATTAAATCCTGTAATTCCATGTACAAATAGAGGACTACATGCTATGACAAGGGGGATTTGCCACTTGCAAGGCTGGGGCAAGAAACTTGGGAGTTTGAGACTGGCTTGGGAAACATAGTGAGACCCTGTTTCTGAAGTGAAGTGAAATGGGAACCACACTCCCATCCTGGCCATGATCCTCTGCATTTTTTTCAAATGCAGAGAAAGCATTTGAGAAAACCCAACATTCTTTAAAACACTCAAGGATCTAAGAATAGAAGGGAAATTTCTCAGAGGGCATCTATGAAAACCCCCATAGCGGACACTGCTGGTGGGACTATAAAATAATGCAGTCGCTTTGCAAAAGAGCTCAGTGGTTCATCCAAAAGTTAAACACAGTTTTACTTTTTTTTTGTTCAGCAACTTCATTCCTAGCCATATACTTTGGAGAAGTAAAATCATGTGTCCACGCAAGAACCTACACATGACTGATTCATAACAGCATTAGGCATAACAGCAAAAAGTGCCAATAACCTGTCATGTTCTGAGGGATAGATGAATAAAATGTGTTCTGTACACACAGTGGAACGTAACTCAGCCTAAACAGGAATGAAGAACTGATACAGGCTAAGACCCGAATGAACCTTGAGAACATATGCAGGGAAAGAAGCCAAATACAGAAGGCCACGTTTTGCATGGTTTCATTTATAAGTGTCCAGTATAGGCAAGCCCATAATAACAAAGACTCGTGGATTCCAGGGGTGGTGGCACACAACATGGGAAATGACTGCTTAATTGCCCCAGGGTTTCTTCTTGGGTTGATAAAAATGTTTTGGAATTTGTTATGAATGTACTGGTAACCACTGGATTTGTAGTTTTAAATGGCTAAAATTGGGAAAATTGTTTGTTCATTGGAATAGGAATTTTTAAAAAGGGGCTGGGGATACTCCATCCCCAGCACAGGGTTGAGCAGTGGGTGGTTGGAGTGGAGCGTTTAAGGACCCCTGGAGATCACATCAAAAGTGCAGATTGGGCTTCAGTAGATCTGGGAGGGTCCTAAGAACCTGCGTTTGTGACAGGCGTCCAGGTGGTGGCGCTGTTGCTCCTCTCTGGACCCGGCTCCAATGAAAGGCTGTATCCCCTTCCCATTCTGCCCTTACTGCTGGGTTCTGTGGATGAGTCTTGCCCAGTCTGCCCCTATAAAGAAGTAGGCCAGGGCTGGGGATTTAGCTTAGTGGTTCCACCGCGTGCCTCGTAAGCGAAAGGTCCCGAATTCAATCCCCGGTACACACAAAAAAAGGCCAAAACACGGCCAGGGGCGCAGACCTCGGCCCAGAGGGAAATGGGGCTCGGGGAGGGGAGCAGAGGGAGGAGGGCCGTGCAGACACAGGGGACCGGAGGAGGAGTAGCTTTATTTTCACACGAAGGTGGGGAAGGAAGGCGTGGCTCTGTCCTCAGAGGTGTGCTGTCGAAAGAGCCTCACTTCCAGCAGATGGGCTCCCCCGCCTCGGAGCTCAGAAGTGACCTGGAGGAAAGGGGTGGCCCGGCGTGGGCAGCTGGGTGTGGCGAAGGCCCCTCAACCCCGGGAGCCCAGCAGCTTCCTCCTGGCCCCTCCCCAGCCCCCTGGGAGCTGCCATCCAGGGAAAAGGTGCAAGGAGGGAGCAGGGGACAACCCCCACAGGTGCCCACCACGGGATGCCACCTTCCCCGAGGGAGTTCGGGGTGCAACAGGCGGGCGTCCGTGGAAGGGAGACGGAAGGAGACGGGCGGAGAGGGTGTCTCCAGCGAAGGAGGGGCTGGGCGATGCCCCCCTGGGGACAGGCCCAGGGGCTGACCTCCACCCAGACACTCACCATCCCCGAGGAGGTCGGGGGCTGGGCTGAAGGGCCCTGGGGGCAGGTTCCAGGCCAGCTCCTCCAGCAGCCCCAGCAGGCTTTTCACCTGGGTCTCCAGGTGCTCCACGGTCTTCTCCGCCGTCTGCAGCGGGAGGCAGGGCAGAGTGGGGCAAGCTGCCCAGGTGGCAGCAACCTAAGGACCACCGTGTGCACGGGGAGAGGACTCGTGCTGAAGGTCCGGGTCCTCTTCGTTCAACTCTGCCTCTTCCTACCTCCCCAGAGGACGATAACCTGAGGGCTCACCCTCCAAGCCCCTCCCTGTCTGGCACTCAGCGGTTAATCCCCGGCTCTGACGGGAGGATCTCACAAACACCGGTTTTCCTTTGGGCTCCGTGTAGCTGGAGCTCACATTCCTTTTGTTGCCCCGCCCCCTTGTGGTATTACCGCCAAATAGCAGGTCTGGGATTTTGACTTTTAAAATTTTTCTTTATTCAGAGTTTCTAATGGATTTTTTTTTCTAATGGATTTTTTGTGTGATCAGTCTGATGTAACCTATAGGTTCCTCTCAGAATAACTCTTTCAATGCAAAAAATTCTTTTTTTTTTTGGTATCGGGGATCGAACTTGGAACCTTGTGCTTGCGAGGCAGGCGCCAGAACCACTGAGCTAAATCCCCGGCCCCTAAATGCAAAAAATAAAACATGTAGGACTAATAAGGATATCAAATACATTACAACATTATTCAAGTATTAAAAATTTAAATTTTTTTTTTTTTGGTACCGGGGATCAAACACAGGACCTTGTGCTTGAGAGGCAGGCGTGGTGCCACTGAGCTACATCCCTGGCCCTTAAAAATTTAAATTTTGATATTATTTATCAACTGATTAAATAACATGATCTAACATCAGACCTGAAGGGCTGGGGATGTAGCTCTGTGGCACAGCTCCTGCCTGGAGAGCACCAGGCCCTGGGTTCGATTCCTGGTACAAAAAAAAAAAAAAGACATAACATCAGGCTTAACAATTCCTGTCATTCTGACCCAGTGAGGACTGTAAATGACATGATGAGACCGTCATAACAACTATGATGGACTGAAGTCTGCGATTTTTGTCATGGTACTGGTAATACTCTTATGGATTGGAAAGGTACTTTCCAATGAAAGGTTTATAACAGAAATATATAAACCCCCACAAGTTTGTAAACCCCAAGTTTTGAGTAATGGTTGTACCACAAAACATGATGACCAAATTTCCACCTTCCCTATTTTGGAGAGCTGGAAGGCTGGGCATAAGCAAGGCCCCAGGGCGAGCAGAGGGTGTAGGGAGCTGGTCACCTAACAGTCCAGTTAGGGCAAAGGGATGTTTGACACAAAGGGCAGAATCAGCCTGAATCTCCTGACGTTCCAAAGTAGGGTGGTATTGGTGCCCCAGAAATTCACCAGCCTGGCGGGTGGTCCTAAAGATTCCTGTCCCCCTCCCAGCCCCATTTCACCCTTCTTACCTCCTCCATGACATCTAACTGGCCTTGGACAGCCTCAAGTCTGTCACAGCCTGTGCTCCAAGTTGGGTCTCCTTGGGAGGCACTGAGGGGCTCAGCAGCTGTGGGGAAATGAGTCTTATCAGTGTGGTGCCCCCAGTTTCCCTTTAGCTCAGAGACTCCGGCAAAACCCTGGAAGTAAGTGAGGTGGGTCCTAACATAGCCACAAGGCCAGCAGCAAGCCAGTGAGTGGGTGTGGCCATCCCAGTCATGCACTTGACTCTGTGGCCACAGTCACCTAAAGAGTTGGGGGCTTCACCCATGAGGCAATGCTTGGGCTGGGTGAAGTCAGGAAAGGAGAGGCTTCTACCCAGGAGAGATGGAGAGGGAGGAAATCTCAGGCTCCTCTGGCAAATGCTCCCGGAAGTGCGGAGTGGCTGAAAGTTTCAGGTGGTGGCAGATGGAACAGGGAGCAGGGATCGTGAAAACAAGCCAAAGGGTATAACTGTATTTCCAGCCCTTAATCAACCAATTACAGTGTTTGGAGGTTTATTTTAGCAGATGAATGTTTTGAGTTTTTAAATACAGAGAATTGGTTGGAGTCATCTGTCCTTGGAGGCAAGAAGTTGCTGCAGTAATCAGGGCAAGAAGAGATGATCACAGACAGCAGTGAGAGGAAGAGAGGGGAAGAAAATGAGTGGGGATGTGATAGCCATAGCATTGACATTGGTCACACTGGCACTGATGAGTGTTAGCGTGCACAATAAGCAAGCATGTTAATTTAACTACCTACCCAACAGCCTATCTTTATCACCTGTTTACACACAGGGAAATTGATACATAGAAGCATTGAAAGTATATGCAGCACAATGAGCCTATGTGAGGACAGAATATCAGATACAGAAGACAGGATTGTGGTTAGCAATCATGAAAAGAAAGATTTCTTAAAAATCCCAAGGGACCACAAAAAATCAGCCCAACATCTGCTAGATGATACAAAGAAGAACAGAAGATTGATTGGAGTCAATGAAAAAGCAGGAGATAGTGCAAATGACATTTAAAAAAACCTGTTCACAGAAGTAATGGCAGAAAACTTCCCAAGCAGGGAAAAAGAATTTCACATACAGACAAGTGAGGCATATAGAACTCCATTAGGGGGCTGGGAATTAGCTCAGTTGCACTGCACCTCCCTCACAAGCACAAGGTCCTGAGTTTGATTCCCACTGCCAGAAAAAAAAAAAAGAACTCCATTAGCCACGATAAAAAAAAAAAAACTACACTAGGCATACAACAGTCAAGATTCCAGAAATTCAACACAAGAACAGAATATTAAAAGCTATTAGATGGGCCAGGGATTTAGCTCAGTGGCACTGCACCTGCCTGGCAAGCACAAGGTCCCAAGTTCCATTCCTGGCTCTGAAAAAAAACAAAAGCCGTTAGAGAAAAGAAACAAATCACCTATAAAGGAAAGTCCATCAGAATCACAGCAGACTTCTTAGTATAAACTCTCAAGTCAAAAAGAGCTTGAAGTATTTCAAGGCCTAATAGAAGACAACCTCCAACCCAGATTGATGTACCTTGCAAAATTATCTTTCAAAACTGATGGAGAAATAGATACTTCCATGACAAAGAATACCGGAGGAAATTCATGAACACCAAAACAGCAATCTCCTGAAGAACATCCTAGAAAAAGAGATAAAGACGACAACTCCACAAACCCCAACAGAATGAACCCACCAAGCAAGGCAAATAATTCAATAGAGGATAAAAGGGAGCCATGAAAACAACATGGCAAGGATAAGCCAATAATATGTTATAACTATCAGTGTTAATGTTCTCAATTCATCAATCCAAAGAGACAGACTGTCAGAATGAATCAAGAACCAAGACCCAACAATATGCTGCATATAAGAAACATTTAATTCAAAAAGAAGTTCATAGACTGAAAGTCAAAGGGTGGAAAACAATAGCCCATGTGACAGGAAGTTGGAGAAAAGCAGGGGTAGCTATTCTATTTGCAGACCAAGTGGATTTCCAACCAACACTGCTGAAGAGAGACAAAGAAGGTCACTACATCTTTGTAAAGGGAAAAATCCAAGAGGAAGAGATAACAGTCATAAATATATACGCACCAAATACCAGTGCACCCAACTATATAAAACAAATACTAATGGACATGAAAAACCAAATAAACACTAATACAGTTGTAATGGAGGACCTCAATATCCCACTTTCACAAATAGCCAGATCAACTAGACAAAAAAACTCTTGAAAGATTAAATAAAATTGACAAACTCTTAGCAACCTTATCAAAAAAGGAAAGACTCAAACCCATGCAATTAGGAATGAAAAGGGTGAAATCACAACAGATCTGCAGAGATCCAGAAGATCAATACTTCCTTTGAGTACCTGTATTCTAATAAGATGGAAAACATGGAGGAAATGGACAGATTCCTAGATACATATGAATTACCAAAGCTGAATCAAGAAGATATAAAAATTCTAAATAAACCAGTATCAGTCAATGAAATTGAAGATTAATTAAAAACCTACCAACAAAGAAAAGCCCAGGCCCTGATGGATTCACTGCTGAATTCTACAAGAAATTTAGAGAACACTTAATACCGCTACTTCTCAAACTCTTTAATGAAATTGAAAGGGATGCAATACTCCCAAATTTATTCCTAGAGGTAAGCATTAGCCTGATTCCAAAACCAGAGAAGGATCCAACTGAATAAGAACTATAGGCCAATCTCCTCTATTGAACACAGACACAAAAATTCTCAACAAGATACTGGCAAACAATAAAGAAGGATGAGCTTGAGACATTTCTAGCTAAATGGATGTACATTGAAACCATACTCTTAAGATAAATTAGGCACACATGTTTAAATACTGTATGGTTTCTCTGGTGTGAGAAAGTGAGAGTGTAAATAAGGACCGAAGTGTATAATAGATCTTGGGAAATGGGAAGAATATGTCCAAATGAGAAGGGGACCAAGGGAGGGGGAGGGGGAGAGAATAGAAGGGGAAAAATGGAAACAAAGCTTTTGTAAATAAGGAGGGGATGAGAGGTTGAAGGGAGGGGAAGGGAATGGGAAAAACGAAGCAAGATATATCATGTACAAGTTCCTGTACCAATTAAAAAAAAGACTTGAAAAAAAAAGAGAAAGAAACTCCAGCCAGTGCCACCCAGATCTAGGGTGTAGATTCTATAGGATGAATGGGGCAGGCAAGGTCAGTGGCAGAAACTCAGATGCTGGAAAACTTGCTCCTGACGCTTGGCTAGCAAGGCAGGGAGCTCAGATCACCAGGTCTAGAGAAGCTTACTTTGTCAGCTTATTTTCTTAAGCACCAGAGAAACATGACCATGCTTGTAGTCTGAGGGACAGGAAGGAGACAGGAATGTGTTTCCTGATGATACAACCAAGGAATCCGGGGGTGACCCATGGAAGGAGGAGAGAGGGGAAGCAGTGAAAACAGGGAAAGGTAAGCTTCCTAGAGGGCTCCAAAAATTCCCAGACTTAGGAGAGACCCTTAAGTTTTGAGGAATCCTGGGAGGGGGTTGTTAAAATAATAACCATGGTGACAATATTTATACACAGAAATCAGCAAATGCTTTTATTCTTTGAGAGCCAGTTTATCAGGGTGCATTAGTGGGGAAGTCAGGGAATCGTGAAGGTGGGCTGGCGTCACTGAAAAGTTTGGGGGCACCTGTTGCTTGAGTGTGGCCCGTGAATGTCCCCAGAAGCCCATGGGTCCCACAGTGGTGCTATTGGGAGGTGACGTGGACCTCCCAAGGTTGGGCCTTGTGGGAAGATCTTATGTCACCTGAGGGCACCCTCAAAGGGGACCATGGGACCCTGATCTCTTCTTTTTCTTCTTCCTGGCTGATGAGGTGAGAGGTTTCGTTCCATCTCTGATTCCCATTGGACTGGCACCTCCAAAACCATGAGCCCAGCAACCCTTTTCTCTTTAAATCCAACTGCCTCAGGCATTTCATTATAGTGACAGCAAGATGAGGAATACAGTGCCTTTCATGGAAATCAGTTTGGTTTTAAATTCTCCTTCTCACGATCCCCATCCCCTGAACTTAGAAAACCCACTTCAGAAGACAGTGGAGGGCCGGGGATTTAGCTCAGTGGTTTCACCGCCTGCTGCGCAAGCGCAAGGACCCGAGTTCAATCCCCGGTACCAAAAAACAAACAAACAAAAGACAGTGGAGCCATTATTGAATTGGGTAAGGGGAGGACAATGTTATAACGGCACATTCGCTATAGCTGTAAAAGTGAGTCTTTTAGGGGCTGGGGATTTAGCTCAGTGGTTTCACCGCCTGCTGCGCAAGCGCAAGGACCCGAGTTCGATCCCCAGTACCTAAAAAACAAAACAAAGCAGTGAGTCTTTTAGAGACCCATGCTGAAATATTTACGGCTGAAATGCTATGATATCTTGGATTTACTTCAAAATACTCCAGGCCTGGGGTGGGGGGCGAGGGGAGAGTGGGTAGATAGACCCTGAGGAGTCGGGTGGAGGCAGGGGTTAGACGTTTTCCATGGTAAAAGCCAGCTGTCTGCCGGAGTCGCTGGAGCGGACTGGTGGATTGAGCCTGTGGATGTGGAATGTTGGGGAGATGGAGGAGGGAGCCCCCTTGTGGTTGTCTGGAGAGGCTGCTGCAGGCCTGGAAGTGGCCCCGGTCAAAGGACCCCGGGAATCTGACTCCTTTGTTTTAGTGACACCAGGACGCTCAGCCTGGAGCGGAAAGATTCAGGGCGCCAAGAGGGAGGTGTTGTCCTCACCACAGTGGGCTGTCCTGGGAAGGAGAACGGGGGTCTATCCAGCCCCCTCCCTCTGCCTTTGGCCAAGCTGTTGCCTTCAGCGTCACCTGCCCTCCTGCAGACCCCAGGCTCCTCTTCCCCAGCACGCATTCTCACAGCCCGTGGCAGGATGAGCAACACCGCCCCGCAGCCAGCCGAGTGGGACTCTGCCAGCTGTGGACGCCGCGGGCAACCTGATTCCACTCCTCTCCCTTAGCCTCACCCTGTCCCCTCTGTGTCTGCCTTGAGGTCTGACTTGGCCTCAGGATCCCTCCTGGGAAGAGGCCGGGCAGCACTAATCTCTCACATCTGGACAGGGCCTTGCTCGGTGCGCCGCTGCCCAGGGGTCCGTGAGCTCACCCAGGCCTCTGAGGAGCTCTTCTCACGGAGAAAGCTTGGAGCGCGGCCCCGCCTCTTCCCTCACAGGGCCCCCGTGGCTTTTGGCTCCAATGCTCCCTCACTCACGCATGCGCACACACACAGCTGTCAGGGAGCTCAGCCGAGAGGAGTGGCGAGGCTGGGATGGTTCCTGCCTGAGTGGCCCAGGCTGAGGTCCCAGGGCTCCCTCCTTCCCTCCGCCCTCCTGGCCCTGCCAGCTGGGAACGGACCTCCCCCCCGGGACGCTGGGCTGCTTTCTCTGGCCTGGCTCCTGCCTGGGCCTGATGTGGCCATGGGTGGAGGAGCCCTGCCCACATGTGACAGCTGGCAGCCGGGCAGGACCCAGAGGCCCTGGGAAAGCACCAGGCTGGTTGCCCTGTTCAAGAGATGTGGAGAAGCTACTCAGGAGGCTGAGGCAGGAGGACTGCAAGTTCCAGCCCAGCCTGGGCAACTTAGTGAGACCCTATCTCAAAATAAAATGGAAAGGGCTGGGGATGTAGCTCAGTGGGAAGGCCCTGGGTTCAACCCCCAGTACCCCAGCCCCCTCGCCACACACACACTCAAAGATGTGGCCTGTAGGTTCTGTCCTCTGAGACTTGCCTGCTACTTACAGATCTTTTTCTTCTGAGATTCACACAGTAAAGAAAGCAGCTGCAGCTTGAATGAATTCTGTGTGCTGGGTGATGAACATCTTGGTGGCAATTTTAAAAGGTGTTGAATCATAAGTCATATTATACTTTTACCAGCAATGCTGGCCACTTGGGGGTTAATCATATTTGACCACATTCAGCGTAATAGAATAATAAATTTTACCACATCCAAAACTTGTATAAATATTTGCGATTCATTCCAAACCATCAGTGGTTTTTGAATATTAAAAAAGGTGGCAGGACACTATTTGGAAACCAGTGCAGGAAGAAATCTAATAAATGGAGCTGCCCAGGCTGAAACAGCAGAGGAGCCTGGACTCTGAGAAAAGGTCACATTCCAAGGAACATTTTTACTTTGTTCTGTTGAGGGAGGGATGCGTCCTATTTTCCCTTGTTCTTGGATCAATGTCTAGATCTGGATTTGGGCTTTGTGAATCACCGGGAGCTTACCAATTCTGTTTCTGGTTAAGTTTGTATTTCACTCAGGATACAACTTAAGCTGCCATAACAAAGAACCCCGTCAGTGACACCCGGTCTACTCCTTCCCATGGGTCAGTGCAGAGCTAGACTGGCTGGTGGCCACACTGGTGGGCGGCTCTGCTCCAATCTGGACAGGAGGGAGAATCTTCCTATCTCCATATAGGGGGCTTTCAAACCACTGAATTTGTAATACAGTAAGTCCCCAACTTAAAAACAAGTTCCATTCTGGGAGACTGTTCCTAAGTTGGATTCGTTCCTAAGTCCAACAAAGTGAGTCTTACACACCTTTGACACAAGCCAACAATGTATATTGCTTTGCACTTCCTCGCAGTCCCCTCCATATCACCCCTGCTTTTCCTCTTGCTTCTGGACATCCTGGGCTCTGACTGAGCACTGTACTGCTGCACACTCACACTGTACAGTAAGCACACAGCAGCACAACCGTGACAATGTCTGGCAGACACGTGCACTGCTTCCGCAATTTGCTCACATCTACAAATGTTTGTAATGCAAGGTCCATTTGTATCTGTGAAAGTTCACAACTTAAATGTTCATAAGTCAGGGACTTACTGTATGCTAAAACATTTCAGGGGTATGGTGGTGTACACCTATACTTCCAGCCTTGGGAGGCTGAGGCAGGAAGATTGCCACAAGATGGAGGCCAACCTGGGTGACATAGTGAGTTCAAGGCCAGCTTGGACTGCATAGTAAGACCTTGTCTCAAAACAAACAAAAAAGTTTCTACAGGTAACACAAACCAGTTTGTTTTACTTGATATACAAAGAACTTTTACAGATTAACATGTGTTTGTTGTTTGTTTTGTTTTGTTTTTTTGTGGGGCTTTTGGCTTTTTGAGACAGGGTTTCACTATGTAATTCAGGCTGGCTTTGAACTCACTATGTAGTCTAGGGTGCCCTGGAACTTGCAGCAATCCTCCTGCCTCAGCCGCCCCAGTGCTAGGATTACAGGAGTACACCACCACACCTGGCCACAGATCAATATGAAAAATCTCAACACAGCAATGAAGTCTCAGTTTACAAGAATCTGTAGAAATGACCAAAATACCTTTGAAGAAGTAGTCCAACTTCAGCAGTAATAAAAGAAATGCAAGCTAAAATAATAAAGAGTATGAAGTACCCTTGCAAAGAAAAGATTAGCTGGGAATAGATCAAGTTTTTAGATGTCACCATCAGTTTACAGAAAATACAAAGGGTAGAACAGTTGAGGAACACCAGGGTGAGTGACTTAGCAAAACAAAATGTGAAAATCTTCTCAGGACAAACTTAGCTTCTACAACAAATACATGTGAAGGAGAAAAACAGAAGTGGGGGAGAACATATATTTAAAGAGAGTTAACCAAATGCAATTGTAGGTGACCTTCCTTGGGTCAAAAAATGATGTGTAAAAATGTGACTTAATGAAGGACATGTAATCACAACTGAACATTTGAAGGTGAGGAGTTATGATTAATTTTGGGGGTGTGATAATGGTATTGCAGTTATGGTTATTAAGAGTACTTATATTTTAGAGATGCACATTAATTATTTATAGGCAAGAATATGACACCTGGAATTTCCTTTAAAACAACCCAGGGAGGAACTGGGCATGAACTAACACTTAGAGCAAGGTCCACAGGTACATTGTTGGGTACATTTTACATACTATTATTTTGTATCCAAATACTTTCCTAACCCAAGGAAAGGAAAACTACCCTCCATAAATACATACGACTACTATGTGTCAAATAAAAATGAAAAACAATATTTTTGAAAGGAAAACAATACTTGTCCTCTTCAGTATTTTCCAGAAAGACATCATACCACAGTGATACACGCACACTCATGTTTATAGCTACCCTAGCACAACTCATAATAGCTGAACTTGGAAGCAGCCTATGTGTCCATCAACAGAGGAATGGATAAGAAAATGTGGTATTTATACACAATGGAGTACTACTCTGCCATGAAACCTGAATTGGGAAAATGGATGCACTTTCTCCCCAATTTAAAGAGCAGGAAACAGCCCCAGGACTTAATGGAACAGAGTCAAAGTAGGGGCGCCCTGGGATCAGGGGTGCTCAATCCTCCCATTACTGGCCCTCAAAGGGACAGGGGCTTCTGTCTGAGCGAAGGGGACTTCCGCCCACGTGGGGATAAAGGCCCACCCCTGAGGCCTGAGCTTCTGGCTCACCTGGGCCACGCCCTGGGTTCTACAGGGTGTGGCTTGCAAACGGTACAGCGGTTCGGGGAGCAGAGCCCTGGATGGCGGGCAGGGCATCCGTGAGTACTGCCCTGCGCTGCAGCCCTGTCTCTGCCCTGCAGCCCTGTCTCTGCCCAGTCCCTGGGAAGATCAGCATGGAGACTTCAGGCGGGTCGGACGGCAAAGGGGACAGCGCAGGGCAGCGAGTCCGGCTGTCCCAAGACCCCGATGGCCTCTCCCTCCTGCGGGTCCCCAGCCAGGCCCAGGGCCGCAGGCGGCACGAGCTCTCTGCCACCGGGCAGGAGAAGCGCTGGTCCTCCTCCTGGGGCCCCAGAGCGGGCTGTGCCGCCCTCTGCAGCGGCCTAGGGGCGGGGGCAGCTGGTCCCCAAGGTCCTGCAGGCTGGGGGTCCCCGCCTCTCCTCAGCCCTGAGCTGGCCCTCGCCTCTCTCACCTGCGCTTGCTCCCCTTTGGTCTCTCTTAAGTCTTTCATTTTCCTCAGTAGCCCCCGCCCCTCACCATTTCATTTCTCTTTTCTCAAACTTACTTATTTTGCGGTACTGGGGATTGAACCTAGGGCTTCGCACTGAGCTTCATTCCCAGGCCTTTAAAAAAAATGCTTTTAGTCGGGGATTTAGCTCAGTGGTTTCGATGCTTGCTGCACAAGGGCGAGGACCTGAGTTCGATCCCCGGTACCAAAAAAAAAAAAGCTTTTAAATTTTTGAGACAGAATCTGGCTACCTCTCTAAATTGCCCCAGGCTGGGTTTGCACTTGTGATGCTCCTGTCTCAGCCTCCTAGAATGCTGAGATCACAGACGGCGCCACCACGCCTTTTAAAAAAAATCCTCCATATCCTTCTCCCTCCAAAGCCTCTTTCTGTGTCAACCTCTGCTTTTCTGTTTGCTTCCCTCTCTCTTTTCTCTCTCTGCCCTCTTCTTCCTCTTTCCTCCCGTGCGTTTTCTCTCCACCTCTCCCTTTCTGCCTCTCTTTGCAGGTCCCTGTCCGCCTCTCCATCCCTCTCCCTTCCTCTCTCAGGCTCCCACTCCTCCCTGGCCGCCCGCCGCTCCCGGGTCCCCAGCCCCACTCACCCGCGCGGAGCAGAGCGAGCCCGGCCAGCGCGCAGAGCAGCGGCCGCATGGTATGGGGCGAGCGCGGCGTCTGTCCGGGTGGGCAGGAAACGAGCGCCGGCCCAGCCAAGATTCCTGGGCGGCTCCGAGCTTCCCGGCTGCAGCGAGCCCGCCCCCTCCAGAGGCCCTGCGGCACCCCACGGCCGGCACCCACCCCAGGGACGCCGAGAAAGTTCATCCAGGACCGTCGTGCCAGCCGGGCGCGCGAGGGGACGCGGTGCCAGGCGGGCACTCCTGGGTCTGGGACTCGTGGGAGCCCCGTTTCGCCAATTGGAGCGCAAAGCTCAGAGAGCAGAGCCCCCTCCCGCCCTCCCTCCCACCCTTCCTTCCTCCCTTCCTTTGTCGGTGTCCCGCACAGGATGACACATCATCTGAAACCCGGGTCCTGGGGCGTGGAAGCTCTTCTCTGTCTACCCACGAGCCAGAAACAGACGCGAAAGGCTTGGTGTCTGCCTCCACAGAAACTTGCTGTTCTGGGAAGAGCTAACAGCTGCTAAAAGACGCTCTCCCTGCCCCTCTCACACACTATTCCACGAGTCTCCTATAGATACAAATGAGCAGGTTAGCTGGCTCAGGTGGACAGGGCTGCAATCCCAGGGCTCAGCAAGAAGGAGGTAGGAGGGTCAGGGTCAGTGGCAAGTTCGAGCCCAGCATGGACCACTTAGCGACTCAGTGAAAAAAGGGCTGAGGATGCAGCTCAGTGCAAAATCCCTGGGGTTGTTAGGCAGTTAAACATTAGCAGGCCTGAGGAAGGAAGGAGGGGTTCTAAAATAGCATGCATTTCCAGTTAATTAAAGAAAGACTTCCAGGTACGATACACTTATAATTGTGTGTTAGGTCTCAGACCTAAAGCAGGTCCCCAGAGCAGTGACATCTTCAGGCTGTGTACTGTGCACATTCCTTCTGATTTCTGGCCACCTGGGCATCTAACTCCAGAGGAAGGCACACTGTGTTCCTGGATGCCACAGCCTGCAGCCTGATATCCGGAAGGGAAATGATCTTTGAAGACCCACCAGCCTTGGGCTGGGATCTGGTTTAAGTTAAGAACTTACCTTTTGTAAGTTTCTTACATGATTAAAGCACCTGAGGTAACACTGACCATCTAAGAAGGACAGGCAGATATTTTGTAATTCCTAAGTAACTTCTAAGTAAAATGGGGATCAGCATTAATCATCTTAATTAGCCCAGTTCCCTGAACCCCAAGAGTAACTCTTGGATTTGGATAAAAATGTATCCAAACTTTCCAGGAGAGGTGGAGCAGGCCTGTAATCCTAGCACTTGGGAGGCTGAGGAAGGAGGATTGCCAGGAGTTTGAGGCCAGATTGGGCTACATAGTGAGTTCAAGCCCAGGCTGAACTACATAGTGGAAGACTGTTTTCCAAAAAAACAAAAGTACCCAAACTCAGACACAGTGTAGAAGACTTTGAGGCACTTCGTGCCTTCTTGATTGAAGGTGCAACACTTTACACTTTACAATGAATTCTGCCTAGACTCCTGCACAGCCTGTGCCTTGACTGAATTCTGTCATCAAGGGCACAAAGAACTGAGGACCAAGGAAGTAAGGGTTTGTCGCTGCAAGGATACCTGGGTTCCACGTGACAGGTTCAATTCGCACTATGGCAATAAATAAATATAAAATGAAATCCAAAAAAATAAAATGAGCATTGCTGACGTTTTTGTTTCACTCATAGTTGATGAGGGAATGTGTAAGATGCTTTGCCAGTCCAAAGAACAGACTTAGATCTGGAACACTGACAAGTACTTGCAAAGGGAGAAGAATCAGGGTTCTTCCGGCAGCAGGATAGGAGCCAAAAGAAACTGGAGCAGGCAGGATTTGCCTCTCCACAGATGAGAATTATTTTGCATTGTTATCAGTTATGCATGATTTCCAAACTTGTAAAATAGTTTAAAAAGAATACAAGGCACAGAGCCATTACTAATAGAATCAGAATCATAGTGTTTAGCAAATGCTGAAGCCTGGTGCCAGATAGTGTTGGGTAGAGTCTGGAGGAGGAGGAAACAGAAATAATTCCCACAGTCACATACAATGTCATGTCTGCCCATGAGGAGTTCACGGTCTAATAAGGATCTTAATAAACTGCAGCTAAGCCCCAGGGTGGGCCACTTCTAACCTGCACTGTCTCTATCATCTTTCCTGCAACTCCATAAGGGACACATCATATATCCATTCTGCAGAGCAAAATATAGATGTTCAGAGAGGTTAAGAATCTTGCTGATTGGGCCGGGGATGTAGCTCAGTGGTGCACCTGCCTGGCAAGTGCAAGGTCCTGAGTTTGATCCCCAGTACCAGGGGGGGAAAAAATCTTGCTGATGGCCACACACTGGTACTGTCACCAGACAGGAACCTAGGAGCTTTTCTTTTTTTTTTCTTTTGGTACCAGGGATCAAACTTGGGTCCTTGCGCTTGCACAGCAGGCTGTGAAAGCACTGAGCTAAATTCCCGGCCCAACCTAGGTGGTTTTCAAGGTGGTGGTGAGGAACCTAACCCTACCTCCCCAAAGAATTAAATTGCAGGTTCACTGACTTCTGTCTTGGAAAAAGAATTTTCAGGATGGGGCTTATTAGGTAGTACTTTAGAAGTACACACTCAGGCTGAGTGTGGTGGTATACACCTGTGATCCCAGCACTCCAGGAGGCTGAGACAGGAGGGTTGCTGTGAGTTTGAGGCCAGCCTGGAAAAAAAAATAAAAGATTTGAATCTAGCTCTGCTGCCTGTGCAGGCCAGTTCTTTTTGGTACTGGGGATTGAACTCAAGTCCTTGCGCTTGCAAGGTAGGCGGCAGAACCACTGAGCCAAATCCCCAGCCCTGGCCAGTTCTTTTTTTTTTTGGTACTGGGGATCAAACTTGGGTCCTTGTGCTTTCACGGCAGGTGGCAGAACCACTGAGCTAAATCCCCAGCCCATGGCCAGTTTTTGATAGTAAAGTACACTCCACCCAATTATCTTTATACTGAGCTTCTTTATTCTGAGAGCTGGGTGAGGTTTTTAGTGAACTTCAAATAAACCCCCACCTCCTTCAGTTTAGAAAAAAAGTGTTGGTGGAAACACAAAATAAAATCTGCAGCCCTGGAAAACAAGCAGCAGTTTGAGCACCTTGACTGGTTGGGGGTGTTGTTCATTACCCAACCCTAGGAGAGCATCTTCATCCATGGAGACTCCTGCTCAGGGTCCAGGGCACCACTGCAGAGCCAGGCTGCCCCTCTACCCTCCCTGTTCCTGGCCACGGCTGTGCAATCATCTATAATTCTGTCTCCACACTGACCAAGGATTCTACGGGCTTACTTCCTCCTCTACAGCAGCAAGATGATGCTCTCAGGCACAGAGATCTGGATTCTGAGCCATCAGATCTGCCACAGAGACTTGGAACCAATCCTCCCCCTCCTAGGGATCCACCTACCCCTCTCAGGGCCTTTGGGCTGAGCTGCATCTCCAGCCATATTATTTATTTATTTATTTATTTATTTACTTACTTAAAGGGAGAGTCTCACCGAGTTGTTAAATTATAGGTGTGAACTACTTGGATCTTTTTTTTTTTTTTTTTTTTTTTTTGAGGCAGGGTCTCCCTTTGTAGTCCAGGCTGGCCTTGAACTCACTATGTAGCCCAGGCTGGCCTCGAACTCGTGGTGATCCTCCTGCTCAGCTTCCTGAGTGGTGGGATTACAGATGTGTGCCACCACACCTGGCACCACTTGGATCTAATTTTTAGAAAGCACTCATGGGGATTAGGATCCTCAGAGGAGCTAGTTTTGAGGCAAGAATTTATTTCAGGAATGCCAATAATTTCTCCCACTTAGGAGGATATTCTTGGACATGCTTAGCCAGGTGGGAAATTGTCAAATAATAGCTAAGGCTGCAAAGATTCTTTCAGTTTGGAACCAGTGGGTTACCTAATATTTTGAATTTAAAATTTTAAAAGATGTGGGTGTGGTTGCATATGCCTATGATATGTGGCTGCATATGCCTACTCCTAAACCTGGGGCAGTTCAAGGCCAATCTGGACTATTTAACAAGACCTTATATCAAAATTAAAAAAAAAAATTAAAAAGGCTGGGGATGCAGCTCAGGGCTCTCTAGGTTCAATCTCTACTACAAGTAAAATAAAATAAAATAGGCTGAGTGTCATGGCTCATGCCTATAATCCCAGTACTCAGGAGGCTGAGGCAGGAGGGTCACTGTGAGTTTGAGGCCAGCCTGGGCTACATAGTGAGACCTTGTCTCAAAAAAAAAAAAAAAATCCACACTTTGTTGTTTTGGTAAATCACAAAGTAATGAAGCATTTAATGTAAAATATGAAACTCCTCTCTGTCTCTAATTCCCCTGCTACATGACTACATGACAGTAATTCCAGTTCAGTCCTCTCTGAAAGGGAACTTTTCCTGTTCCTTGTCTGTGAATTCCCTACCCATGCAGTACACATTCAGACACTTATTTTTAGACATGGGGTCAAAGTGAAGCAGTGAACTCCATGCAAACCACATCAACCTGAGCTTATTGTCTCACAAAGTCCAAGAATGAAATCATGGACAAAAGGAGGAAGTTAGGAGAATAAGAAGAAAAATAACTCCTAGTTTCCAGAAGGGACTCCCAAAGTAGAATTCCAGGGTGCTTTCTTCATTCTGGTCTTAAAATAAAAGCAGAGCATGGGGACTTGTTTTATACAGCTGGCTCTGTGTGCTCAGAATAACCAATTGGGGTTTAGGATTTGTAATGTAGTCTAAAGAAAATCAGTTACTTAATTCAAAGGAAACTGGTTAATCTGCATTTCTAAGTTCAGCCCAGATGTAGATAGGAGCTGTCAGTTACCTTAGCATACTCAGCCTCCAAAATTTTTTCCCTAGGACAAAGAGTCCTTATCTGTCCATTCTTTTCTCTCTCTCTCTCTCTCTCTCTCTCTCTCTCTCTCTTTGAGACAAGGTCTTGTTATGTAGTTCATGCTGTCCTTGAACTCACTATGTAGCCCAGGCTGGCCTTGAAGTCACAGCAATCCTCCTGACTCAGCCTCCCCAGTACTGGCATGACAGGCAGGCCATCATGCCCAGCAGTTTGAGCAATTTAGCAACACTGTTTCAAAATAAAATGGGCTGAGGATGTAGCACTTGTGTGAAACCCTGAATCGTATCTCCAGCACAACACAACAAAGCAAAACCCAAAATTAAAATAAACAAACCCCCCCAGAAATATTTGAGACTTATAATTGTTATAAAGTTGAATTGCTGAACCCTGCTCACTGATATGTTTTGATTTGCATTAATGCTTCACATACCCACATTTATATTAATGAA